GTTTAGTAGGGGGTAGAGGTAATACATTAAGCTAGTAGTGCATACTACACAAACACACGCACACCAGACACCGAGGAGTCTACTGTGATCGCTCGGCCATGCGGCGCCCGACTGAACCACCGACCCCCCACCAACCCCTCCACAACCCCCCCACCCCCTAGGCCTCCACGACTACGGATTGCTACATACTACCATCTACCTCAACTCTCTACCTCCAACCTCTCATAACCAACCTCTGATTTCGTATAGTCAACTCGCCACACTACACCAACCCCCCACCAAGCGTGAACGGAAGTAATCAATAACTTCAGGACAGACAGGAGGGAAAGATAAATGTGGGAGAGAGATGGCAAAGCTTGCAGTCGTCTAGGAGAGGAGCATCGATCCGGCCGGCGCATGCGCACTCCATCACGGTACAAAGTTCCTTCTCTGGTTCCACCACCACAATGGTACAATGATCATGAATGTGTATAATTACTTACACTTAAGATCAATTCTCAAAATACTCGAGAACACCATTAAACATCTTTGAATCCAACCCATCCCTTGGAATAATTCAATATACGAAACTATTCACATTAAACCCGTATTTTTAGAAAAGTCTTGGCTCTGTAATTCACAACTGGATTACAATTTAGCGTGACATTACCACCAGAAATCTTAGCCAAGTATCCAAAGTTTACCTACAGCAGGTAGCGCCTACAGCTGATGGTAAACCCACCGCGGCCGCCCACTGGGTGCCTCTGGGGTGCATGATAGGCAAATAAATCCAAATAAACAGCCTACCTCACCACACACGAGGATTGCTTAGCCTAGAGATGATTGTGTGACATTATATGACACTGAAATATTAATGTTATTCACCCTCAAGACGGAGGTGACACAGACTGTGAACACACTGTCCAAGTACTTGTTCACTGTTCAACTGCCTTATATTATTATGGCTGCAACTTACTTAGGTACCTGAATTTTAGGATATGGGGTCAACTACCACTCACAGGATTAGTATGGGGTCCAACACTACTCACAGGATTAGTATGGGGTCCAACACTACTCACAGGATTAGTATGGGGTCCAACACTACTCACAGGACGTGTATGGGGTCCACCACCACCCACAGGACGTGTATGGGGTCCGCCACCACCACCCACAGGACGTGTATGGGGTCCACCACCACCCACAGGATGTGTATGGGTCCACCACCTTTTTTCTTTAAGACAGCGCAGGTCAACCAAGAAACCTGATTAGGTCAGTTTGTTTTGGGTTGGGTTAGGTCAACTTAATTCAATTTCTTTCTTTATTATGCACCCCATACCCATCCCGTGAGCGGTGGTGTAATTAAAGGATTACAGAATCACATAATCGGTTCAGGAACTTAACCCTCTAGTTCGTTTAGCTAAGCAAATAACAATTTTACGCTCGAAACTCCAGAATATTCCCCCTTAAAAATAAATGCAAACCAGATTAAAATGGGAATATTGCACGTTTACAGTTGAATATCTATTATTGCTTAAAGTATGCGGGGATGAGGAAGTTGGAGATGCACCTCTAGCAAGAGTACTGGGTACTTCTTAACTTTCCCTAGACTCGCGACTCTTTCTACTAAGACTCGAAGAGGCATGCAACCCGCCTACATTGCCACACGTTGCTCAAACGCGTCCGACTCGGCAGTGTGCTGACGGATAGTTAAAGCTTGACTGACACGGCGGTCAGTCCCAACCGGTTAGACGTAACCAATCAGTCCCAACCGGTTAGACGTAACCAATCAGTCCCAACTGGGCAGTCGTAACCAGACAGTCCCAAGCGGTTACTAGTCATTCTCTAGATTAACAGGTTCGGTAATGATGGATTTATTATTTTCTTTATTTACTTAGGTCAAGCATATGTCGCGTAGTCTCCACTTAGGTCAAGCGTAGGTCGTGTAGTCTCCACTTAGGTCAAGCGTAGGTCGTGTAGTCTCCACTTAGGTCAAGCGTAGGTCGTGTAGTCTCCACTTAGGTCAAGCGTAGGTCGTGTAGTCTCCACTTAGGTCAAGCGTAGGTCGTGTAGTCTCCACTTAGGTCAAGCGTATGTCGCGTAGTCTCCACTTAGGTCAAGCGTAGGTCGTGTAGTCTCCACTTAGGTCAAGCGTAGGTCGTGTAGTCTCCACTTAGGTCAAGCGTAGGTCGTGTAGTCTCCACTTAGGTCAAGCGTATGTCGTGTAGTCTCCACTTAGGTCAAGCGTATGTCGCGTAGTCTCCACTTAGGTCAAGCGTAGGTCGTGTAGTCTCCACTTAGGTCAAGCGTAGGTCGTGTAGTCTCCACTTAGGTCAAGCATAGGTCGTGTAGTCTCCACTTAGGTCAAGCGTATGTCGTGTAGTCTCCACTTAGGTCAAGTGTAGGTCGTGTAGTCTCCACTTAGGTCAAGCGTATGTCGTGTAGTCTCCACTTAGGTCAAGCGTAGGTCGTGTAGTCTCCACTTAGGTCAAGCGTAGGTCGTGTAGTCTCCACTTAGGTCAAGCGTAGGTCGTGTAGTCTCCACTTAGGTCAAGCGTAGGTCGTGTAGTCTCCACTTAGGTCAAGCGTAGGTCGTGTAGTCTCTACTTAGGTCAAGCGTGCGTCACGTGGTCTCCACTCAGGTCAAGCGTACGTCGCGTAGTCTCCACTTAGGTCAAGCGTACGTCGCGTAGTTTAATAGGTGGGTGCAAACAGCAGCTTAACCTCACTGGACAGAATGTGTACACCAGCTGATGGGTCCCGAGTTACTGGGAACATGTCGGGTCATAAACCCGCCCTGCTCCACCTCGTAACCCGCCCTGTTGCACCTCGTAACCCGCTCTGCTCGACCTCGTAACCCGCCCTGTTGCAGTATCAACAACACCACAGCAGTTTGAACATCACCACTACAACAGTATCAACAACAACAACAACAAAAATATGCCGAGACCTGCACCCCCCTCCCTCCATCCCACTCAACAAAAATGCAATAAAAATCAAGAAGCCTATTGAAGTACCGCCAGACACTGTCCTATTGACTGGCCGCTCCACAGGGCAGGAAACCGGACGAAACTGGTCTCCGAGTCAACCACTTGGCGTCCTGCCTCATCCACCTGGCCAGTGGATGGATAGGTGGATCGATAAATGGATCGATAGATAGTTAGGCTGATTTGTTAATGGATAAACAGATTGGCTGTATGGATTTTTTTTAAGCATTGGATGAGGTGATGAACAGATGATTGTGTAAATTAGGTGGATTGCTATAGAATTCTATAGTTTGGTGGATTATTAAGGCAATTGACGAGTGGATTGATCAAGGAATAATTAGGTTGGTGGGAGGATAAATGAATTTTATTTAAATTATAAAAAATAGTTGAAAATATTAATCTATCAGTTTGTTTAATCAATTTCCTCATCTAATAATTTTCTAATTGTAAATTTGTAAATATGTTGCTCTCTCTGAGTCTCTTTCAAACTGAACAGACACATTTTTTCCAGTACTCACTGACGACTGAAGGAGAACACATGACCCAGTACTCACTGACGACTGAAGGAGAACACATGACCCAGTACTCACTGACGACTGAAGAACACATGACCCAGTACTCACTGACGACTGAAGGAGAACACATGACCCAGTACTCACTGACGACTGAAGGAGAACACATGACCCAGTACTCACTGACGACTGAAGGAGAACACATGACCCAGTACTCACTGACGACTGAAGGAGAACACATGACCCAGTACTCACTGACGACTGAAGGAGAACACATGACCCAGTACTCACTAACGATATATATATTATATATATATAACTAAATCACAGGTGAGAGGACCTTACCAAGAAGCAGCGTCGCAATTAACGAAACAATCCAGTCCTTCCACAATATCCCTCACTGCTGAAGACGTTCTCAAGACGGTGAGAGCCGTCCGCGTGAGCTGAGAGACTGGCCTCTAATAGGCAGGTCGACAACAGATCAATCCCATCAAGGTCACCTAATGGCTCTTTGGCGGAGGTATCTGTTATGCGGTTGTGAAGGGTGAGGGTGATCCGCCGGGCTCTCTGTCGGTAACGGTGCTGGTACACGGTGCCGGACCAAAGAGCTAGAGCTCAACCCCCTGCAAGGACAACTAGGTGAGAACAAGAGGCTTCCTACACAGTCTCTCACTCCCTTTGCAGGCTGTTCTCACTTGCGTTCCCACCGTCAAGAAACTGTCGTAGTAATGTGCCGTAACCTATCCCACCAGAAATTCATGTGAAGACGGAGAAGGATAAATTGATGAGAAAGAGCGTGTGAGTGAGGGGGGAAGAGGGGGGGAGAGAGAGGGGGGGAGAGAGAAGGAGGGACAGAGAGGGAGGGAGAGAAAGAGGGTGGGAATGAGAGAGACTTAGATGATAGGAGGTATTTGCAACAATTTAATTTCAACTTGTTTAATTAAATATATTTCCTTATCTAATGTAGAGTATGACACCGCATCTAACCCCACACCCGGCTCCCGGACATATGGCCGTAGTGACGAGTGACGGGCCGGATAAGCGAGGTCACCGTCGCATCTACGAGCATCAGGTACGGTAGCGGCGGCCGCAGCACCATCGTACCCGTCACGCCACCAGCAACACCCCCGAGGCACGATAACTCCCAAACACGTACGGTTCTCCAGTATGGTCTGCCTCGCACATTCTGTTAAACTCTTTCCTAAATACTAATATTACTTCTTATTATATGATTGATAATATCTCGTGAATAATTATTACTTTACGGACCCAAATATTTGAGATGTATTTCCCAAGTGTTAAATCAAGGCCAGACCTGACCTATCAAGTTCTCCAACACATTTAAAGCAATATTCTTCTAAGATTAAGCAGTCTATTAAATACGAACACTACTGCGAGAGACCAAACTGGCTCTACCTTCGCGGTTTACGGAAATCCAGCGGGAGGAGGAGGAGGAGAGGTGGGGAATGAGGCAGCTGGCACCTGCGAGGACTGGCCGGCGTGGCTAGCAACCAGGCCTTGACGACGGAGGTGACACCATAACATATCCGTCGGGCGGGAGACCTCACCATCATCCTCGCACATTTCACCATATTTCTCCTCGTTTCGGGCAAGATTCGTGGTGCTGCGAGTGACAGACCCGGCGGGTGGTACATCTGTGATGTAGTTTGTGCTGTAAGTTGCCTTCCGCTGCCCATTGTAACGCATTGTGTTATTTCCGTGCTGAAATTGGCGAAAGATTGTAATGGAACATTGTGAACCACAAAGAACTGCTTTCAGTTCGGATGGAAAGTAAATGTGAAATGAGATGTAGACAGAGGCAAACAGCTGAGATTAAGCAACATTTTGCCTAAGATGGACGTTGATGATCACGAATCGAGGAAAGGTTTCTGGCGGAATTGGAACAGCGCCCCCGAGGAAGGACTGGAGACACGTCACCCCTGTAAAGGTTATCTCCGTTCTCTGTGATGGTGTCCGGCCTCCCACGGGAGACTCAATTATCTATGTTGCGTAGTTTGTATTCCTACTGCGTCGTGAAGCTGGGTGTCCTTATTACTGTTCTCGTAACGTCCAGAGGAACAGTGTGTGTTCCTACCTACTGTAACACCCATAGGAACAGTGTTCTTACCCATTGTAACACTCAGTTGTTTTTTTAAGTTTATAATCATGCACGGACACCAATAAGCAAACTTTGGGTGCTTGACAAGTTATCTGGTTGTACATTATTATGAATTAAATACACATTTCTTGAACATGGAATTACTTCTATGAGAATTTATTATAGAATTGCTTCTAAATGCTTGTTTATCACATTCAATTACAAAGTGAAGTAAGGTACCAAATTAGTTCAGTTGAGAGTTTTCATTTGGTGGGATCTACTTCGGCAGGTACCCACAGGTACTTGAAGCCGAGCCGAGGCTTAGCAGTGGTAATGTCCAAGTTTACTGACCTTATGGAATGAACCATAGACATATGACTACTCCTGCATAAACGAATGAGTTTACATTAGAATAACTGGTGTGAATTTCACTTTGTCTCTGGCACACTAAAATCTGTATTGCATTTTTCAGCATATTGCTGCCCTCAGGCTGCTCAGAGGCCATGGGAGATGGTAATCAACTCTCTTATCTGAACACATGTTTGACATGCAGACGAGGAGTCACAATAACGTGGCTGAAATATGTTGACCAGACCACACACTAGAAAATGAAGGAACGACGACGTTTCGGTCCGTCGTGGACCATTCTGAAGTCGATCATTCACATTCGACTTGAGAATGGTCCAAGACAGACCGAAACGTCGTCGTCCCTTCACTTTCCAGTGTGTGGTCTGGTCAACCCATGTTTTACATGTGCTTTTCTTAAGATACTAACAAGGTTAGGTAAGGTCGGTGTTTTCTATGAAGCTTTTTAAGGGTATCTATTATGTTTAGTATGTCACCTATGCACTTATTTAATAAGTCAATATTGACTTTACGAATTTGCGAGAACGGGTTGTTACATGTGTTGACCATGGTAGAAACACGATTTCTACCATGCATCCAGAGGCCAATATGGTATGGAACCCATAGAAATCAGACTGTTTCCATCATTAACTTAGCTAGGCACACACAAGATGGACCATCTTATGTGTGTGCGTAGCTTCAGACACAGGCACTTTACAGTTCTGTCTTGAGGAGCTCGGTGAGGTCAGAGATAACAGGTCACATTTAATGTATCCACTATGGATATGTATACTCGTTCGTGTGAGAAAGTTTGTGTTATTACGAGTAGTAAAACACTCAAGAAAACTGTGTTGTTTTACCTTATGTGTTTGTAGTTGCCAGGAATGAACTGAAGCTCCTGGACCCCGCCATTTTCCCGTCTCGCGTCTGGCGTTTTGTGATGTGGTTCGTTTTAGTTAACAGAAAGGGTTCGCTGTGGGTGGCCTCCACGACCTAAAACACGGTGTTCACACCTGTGACCTCTGGTTGTGTTCACACCTGTGATCTCTCCTTGTGTTCACACCTGTGATCTCTCCTTGTGTTCACACCTGTGATCTCTCGTGTGTTCACACCTGTGACCTCTCGTTGTGTTCACACCTGTGACCTCTCCTTGTGTTCACACCTGTGACCTCTGGTTGTGTTCACACCTGTGACCTCTGGTTGTGTTCACACCTGTGACTCCTCGTTGTGTTCACACCTGTGACCCCTCGTTGTGTTCACACCTGTGACCCCTCGTTGTGTTCACACCTGTGACCCCTCGTTGTGTTCACACCTGTGACCCCTCGTTGTGTTCACACCTGTGACCCCTCGTTGTGTTCACAACCTGGGACGGTTAAGGGTACAAAAGCAACAATAAATTAATACCGCCTATTATATAAGAGTTCCAATTGTCTTTAATTTCACATTCTTCGTGTAATTTTTTCTGAAGGAATAATACGTTATTTACCAGGCGAGAAGTTGGTGAGTGGGTGGCGAGACTTAAGCCAAGCAGTAGTATACTGCTTGCTCAAGCAGTATAGCAGTAGTATACTGCTTGTTCCAGGAGTATACTGACCTTATTGGTTTACTTGTGTTTATAATGCATTTACATTTACACTGCTTTATAAACATAAAGTTTATAAAGCAGTGTGTGACTCTTATGGCATGGTAGAATGCTGATGAATGGAGCAGATGTTATAGATTTAACTGTCTATTAGTTTTGGTGTGAGTAATATTACTTCCACGTCTAGTTTTGTGAAGGTAGTCCAAGCTTATTATAAACTCCCTCTTTAAGTGTATATATACTTTGGCTAATTAACTCATCAATTCAGAATCAGTTATGAATATAAATAACAAGAATCCTGCCAAGCCTATGCCACCATAGACTCTTGTCATGTGCTGCGTTTTACGTATTTCATGATTATTATTTTGTTTACGCCAGGAGAAGGAAGAAGGTAAACAGAGAGATTTGGAAGGCGGGGGCGAGGACAGCGATGGGGTAAAGAGGCCGGAAAGAGGAAGTCACCAGGACAGGAAACAAGAGGAGGGAGAAGAGGGGGGACTAGGTGCAGGATCAGGAGCTCCTCAACGTGACCCTCTCCCCCACACTCTCACCCACACTCTCCCCCACACTCTCACCTACCGCCAGCATGTCAGACTCAGAGGACGAGGCTGTGGAGCGCCAGGTGAAGCTGGTGATGGTGGGAGCGCCCCAGGTGGGGAAGACCTCCCTGGCTGTAAGGTACACCCAGGATATGTTCAACAAGACCTACCAGGTGAGGGAGGACGTCCCGGGGCGCCCGCTTCACTCTCAGTCGGTGTTGTCATGCATTTATAGGGACTTTCTAGGGGGGGGGGTGGGAGAACACAGGCGACTTAATACTTCCTAGCTGATGGGTACTAGCTCCATCTTCAGATATATCCAGGCAACTGGACTGCACCTTCTTAGTACACTTAGTGAACTGAACACTGTACCACTGTTCTTCTCTACCTATTCTTGCTAGCTGTAATTGCAATCTAGTAGTAGGGAGGAAGGAAATTATGAAAACGCTCCGATGCTCTTGTACGTCTTAAGAATGTTTCAGATTGGATATACGCAAATTATTCAATAACTGAACAGCTCAATAATTCAGTGTTAAAATTGAAGTACCAAATCCATGTGCAGCTTATTGCTATTCCTGCTTGGTACACTGGGTATGTTGGTACGAATTTCTCTAGTTACATTCGTTTCCATTTAGGACAATCCATTGCTTTATTAAAAAAAAAAAATTCCCCATTTCCCCCCACTTTACCATTTATTTATTTACGGCAAATGGGGAGACCTTCGACAAGCGGCCGGCTTCCTCTCCTCGTCGAGGCCACTAGTGTTAGTGGCTCTCAGGTAAACTGAGGTAATTGCATGTGCTTGTAATTAATTCCCTTGTTACTCTTTCATATGGCAGCTCATCAAAAGTTTTTTTTTTTTTTTTTTTTTTTTTTTTTTTTTTTTTTGAGATATATACAAGAGTTGTTACATTCTTGTACAGCCACTAGTACGCGCAGCGTTTCGGGCAAGTCCTTAATCCTATGGTCCCTGGAATACGATCCCCGCCGCGAAGAATCGTTTTTTCATCCAAGTACACATTTTACTGTTGCGTTAAACAGAGGCTACAGTTAAGGAATTGCGCCCAGTAAATCCTCCCCGGCCAGGATACGAACCCATGACATAGCGCTCGCGGAACGCCAGGCGAGTGTCTTACCACTACACCACGGAGACTGCATAAAGAGAAGTTTTTAGAGAAGTCTATGACACATTCACTCGTAAACTCCGTTATAATAGGTTACGTTTGTTTAAAAAAGCAACGATGAACTAGAACAACTATGCTTAAGATTATCTTTGAATTCTACTTATTTAAATAAGCTTATCTCCATTAACTATCAACGCCCGCAATGTCCGTTTCTTCCTGAATTTACCTGAATGTGTAAACATCTCTAGTGGCCGCGACGGGGAACACACAGTTGGCGGCTTGTAAAAGGTGCCCGCAATTGCCCACTAACGGGACTTTATAATCATTCCTTTTAATAAATTAATATTTTATTTTATTTTATATATTGCATCTATTCATGAAACTTGGTTGGCTAACTTAATTTTTACTTTTGTTAGCACTATACAAAAATAGTTTTCTTTGATAACCATTGTGTACGTTTTCTATCATTTCAGGCATCTATGGGGGTGGACTTTTATTTAAAGCGGTTGGTGCTGGGTAATGAACGAAACGTTAATGTGCAAATCTGGGACGTGGCCGGGTCAGCCTTGACAGGCAAGATGACGGATAAGGTATTTGTTATTCATATTTATAATCGATATATGTATATGTTGGCAAAATTAGGTGACAACCTTAATATAAACTGGACGAATGTTTCTCCCACAGTATCTGTACGGCGCCCACGCCATCCTCTTCGTCTACGACGTGACCAACGGGATCTCCCTGGACACCCTTCAGGAGTGGGTGGCGGCCGCCCGGAGAGCCGCCCGGGCCCAGGAGAGGCCGCCCATCCTCGCCCTCGTGGCCAACAAAGCCGACATGGAGCACGTGCGACAGGTGGGCGGTGGAAGGGAACTATTATTTATTAGGGGCAGCACTAAGCCATTACAACTATATAGCACTTGGAAGGGTTTAGGATGAGGATTTGGGATTGGATAGGGGGGGGGGATGGAATGGTGCCCAACCACTTGGACAGTCGGGGATTGAACGCCGACCTGCATGAAGCGAGACCATTGCTCTACCGCTCAGCTTAAACGGTTGGGCAGGTGGGCGGTGAGGAGAGACGATATTGTTAATGATAAGGCTGGCGAAGGTGCGCCTGATGCAAAGTTAATGTCAGTGATCCTGGGCCCTCCAGGCACACCTTCCCCTCACTCCTCTTTGTTTTGTGTTGACATCTCGAATTTCTTCCGAAATAATACTATATTTTTAGTGTCATTTCCGTGGTATGAATAGACTGTAGGGGCTATATGGTCTAAAGAGACTGTAGGGGCTATATGGTCTAAAGAGACTGTAGGGGCTATATGGTCTAAAGAGACTGTAGGGGCTATGGTATAAAGAGACTGTAGGGGCTATATGGTCTAAAGAGACTGTAGGGGCTATATGGTCTAAAGAGACTGTAGGGGCTATATGGTCTAAAGAGACTGTAGGGGCTATATGGTCTAAAGAGACTGTAGGGGCTATGGTATAAAGAGACTGCAGGGGATCCCATCCCTCAATCCTCGTCACCGTCAACCAACAACAACATACTATTTTTTTTAGCAGTTATAAAATACATTTTCAGTAACATTTTATGGAGCATAAAATCAGTTATAATTGATGATAGAAATTTGTAAAGGAAGTAATTCCTAAACACTGCAACAGACAAGAGTATATAGTTACTGTCAACCAATTAGGGTGACAGGTACTGTCACATTGCGTGCTCACCAGGATGAGTGACACTGCTCGTCGAAACGTTGGTCACTATTTCAGTGAAGCAGTGTCCACGACAGTGGCTGGACGAGGTAATTGACATGAATGAGGCACTGTCAATAGACAATAATCTAATATATGCTAGATCTCATATTCGACATTTGAACTAGAATATGTGCAATGTTGTTTACTACCCCAGAACGTCATTCTGATTCTCTAGTAACAGTCTTTTGTTTTTGTCTCCTTCCACGCCGGTCCTGCTTTCTCGCCTGCCCCTGTACCCACGTACTCATCGTGTACCTGTGTACGCACGCACCTGTGTACGCATGCACCTGTGTACGCATGTACCTGTCACCAGGTGAAGAGCGAGCGTCATCATAGATTCGCCAGCGAGAATGTCATGGGGTCCTACGTGGTGTCGGCCAAGACGGGCGAGGGCGTTGCGCTGTCATTCCAGAAGGTAAGATGGACCGTGATCTGTGTTCCAGCGGGTCTGGACGAGGTGTGCCACAGGTGGGCAAGTATGGAAGTGAGGGAAGCTTGGTAATGATGGTCCAGTAGCGAGGTATAGAACTGGTCCTTGTGGTTTAGTGTTAGGGGTTTAGGTTAGGTTATGGTCGTCGGTGATGGGTCGTGGACGAGGATCCAGTGGCGAGGTTTGTGGAAGTAAAAGTGGTTGTCCAGTGGTGTGGTATGTTAGTGGTTGTTCCAGTAAGGAATGACAGTGGTATAAGTTCTCGATATACATGGGAGGGTTGATGGCGTCCCTGCAGTCTTGGGAGTGATGATCATGTGAAGTACAGGAGCGGTGGTGATGTTGGTCATGTGGAGTACAGGAGCGGTGATGATCGTCTGGTAAGATATAAGACACATTAATGTTTTCCACTGAGTTACGACAAGGGTTTTAGTGTTCCTTGGACTGGATCTCTGTTGCAGATTTGACGAAGAAACTAATTCCTTCACGTTTTTAATACCTTAATCTATATTAATCTGTCACTTGGTTGCAATACATCTTGTATCATGTTAATTTGTATGAGCTGCAACTCGTATCTCTTCGTTTTATCTGAATTTTCTGTCTGGTCAGCGAGCCTTACACAGTGTTCCCGCCACTTTCAGGTCGTCGCGGAGCTGCTGGGAGTGCGCCTGACGAAGGCGGAGCAGGAGCAGCAGCAGCCGGTGGTAACGGCGGAAATTGACACCTTCCAGGAAGCGGCTCTTGCCAAAGTGCCGCCCTTCGGCTCTACCTCCATGTCCAGCGTCTGCAGCCTCATGTAGCAGAAGTCTTCGCTTATGTTTCTTGAAGCGCTTGGTGAGGGTCTTCGCGGAGGCTTCAGCATTACTCCCAGTTCTAAATGTTTTACGAAGCTTTCGTTGAACAAGTGAATGTCCCCTAAGTGGCCGTTCATGAAAATAAGTGTAGCTCCTATGGTGGATAAGTGGCCTTCAGTCTTGTTTCGTTAAATGTTTTAAGTCAATGGAGTTCAGGAGGTCCTCGTTAGACGGTTTGCAAGGACGAGATGTGGATTCCAATACCTTTGTCAGTGACTTCAGTTGCCAGCACAGGACGTTCGTTGTGGGCATGAACTTGGACATGGCTGTCACTCTCGTTGATAATTAAGACCTCGCGAGAGCGTTTTAAAGCTTGGGATACGACGAGTATTTCACTGCTCTTAATGCCATATACTCTTTTCTTGAACGTCCTCTGGAGTTTATCTTCAGTCCTCTGATTATTTAAAAATTGCAGGACTTTGACGTGAATCAATATGATCTTTTATATTAGATCAGCTTGATGTTAAATGTTTAAACTGAACTCAGCTGAACTGAGTGCTGCTGGATCCAATATGTTAGAATACTGGTAAATGGTGACTTATGTAAATTAGAGACCACTACCGAGCGCTTTCTTACATGTTAATTAGAGAACAAATATTAAAATTCCGAATATATTTCTTTTCAAATGTTAATAAATACATTTTGCAGACTTGTGTAATGTAGCCTAAAAGGACTCAAAAGCTGTGCACACTAATTACATACAATAATTACACTTCATAGTTAATAATGAAGGTAACTGAAGCTTAAAATTCGCACCACTTTGAAACAGAACAAAGATGTGAAGCTTCGGCAGCTTAGAAAAATCAAGCAGTAACAAGCACGTACATTAATAGTGACGATGTGCAGAACATTGTCATTCAGCACCAATAACATTCTACAAAACAATTGAATATTTCCGCTCATAGTTACAAGTGATTCCTTAATTATGGAGGAACTTAATGGACTTAATTATGGACTCTATGCTTCAGCATGGAGTCCGAATCTAGTCAAGCACGAGACTAAATTAGAGAAGGTTCAGCAGAGACTAGTATCCGAGCTGAGGGGTATGAGCTATGAGGAAAGACTACGGGAGCTTAACCTCACGTCGCTGGAAACAGAAGAGTTAGGAGAGACATGATCTTCACATGTAAGATTCTTAGAGGAATTGATAAAGTAGACTAATACAGAGTATTTAACACAGTTGAATCACGCACAAGGGGACACAGGTGGAAACTGAGTATCCAAATAAGTCACAGAGGCGTTGAAAAACTTTTTTCTAGGGTAATTAACATATGAAATACACTAGGCAGTGATGTGGTGGAGGCTGACTCTATACACAGTTTCAAATGTAGATATAATAGAGCCCAGTAGGCTCAGGATTCTGTACATTAGTTGACTGACAGTTGAAAGGCGGGATCAAAGAGCCCCTCAAGCAGAATTAGGTGAGTACACGCAGTCCACGAATCCGACTTCGATTCCCGGCCCAGTCAGAAACATTTGGGCAGAGTTTGTTTCGCCTGTGTTCACCTAGCAGTCAATAGATACCTGGGAGTTAGATGTGAGCTGTGGGTGTGTGAGAGAAATATATCTGGTAGATGTGATAGAGAAAAATAGGCCGGGAGTTAATACATTAGACATCTGATGGTTAAAAAGGCGGGGTCCAAGAGCTATCAGCTCGATCCAGCAGCCACAAATAGTAAATATAAATGGTAAATACACACCCTCATATATGCACACACACACACACACACACACACACACACACACACACACACACACACACACACACACACACACACACACACACACACACACACACCACTGGCAATAACATTCATATACTTGGTCCACGAGTGACGACAAGGACAACACAGGTGACCCACGAGTGACGACAAGGACAGCACAGGTGACCCACGAGTGACGACAAGGACAACACAGGTGACCCACGAGTGACGACAAAGACAGCACAGGTGACCCACGAGTGACGACAAGGCCAGCACAGGTGACCCACGAGTGACGACAAAGACAGCACAGGTGACCCACGAGTGACGACAAGGACAGCACAGGTGACCCACGAGTGACGACAAAGACAGCACAGGTGACCCACGAGTGACGACAAGGACAGCACAGGTGACCCACGAGTGACGACAAAGACAGCACAGGTGACCCACGAGTGACGACAAAGACAGCACAGGTGACCCACGAGTGACGACAAAGACAGCACAGGTGACCCACGAGTGACGACAAGGACAGCACAGATGACCCACGAGTGACGACAAGGACAACACAGGTGACCCACGAGTGACGACAAAGACAGCAGAGGTGACCCACGAGTGACGACAAGGACAACAGGTGACCCACGAGTGACGACAAGGACAGCACAGGTGACCCACGAGTGACGACAAGGACAGCACAGGTGACCCACGAGTGACGACAAAGACAGCACAGGTGACCCACGAGTGGCGACAAGGACAACAGGTGACCCACGAGTGACGACAAAGACAGCACAGGTGACCCACGAGTGGCGACAAGGACAACAGGTGACCCACGAGTGACGACAAAGACAGCACAGGTGACCCACGAGTGGCGACAAGGACAACAGGTGACCGAGCAGTAATACCAGACCAGTCTCACCCCGACGCCAGGTCCCAGAAGGACGCCCTCATCTCGCCTCACATTCTTCCCAAGAAACCTCCACGACGGACAGGGAAATAATCTGTTTGGTCGAGGCTTAAGGGAGCGTCCTCCAAGGCCCAACGCCTGAATGATACCAATGAAGGCACGACTGTCTAATAGTATTCAATAAATTGTAAATAAAGTTCTTCGCATTTATTTTCCAGTTTTTTCCTAAATGTTTATATCTGGAATAACTTATATGGGCATTGGTTATACGCAGGTAACCAGTATGTATAGCCAGTATAACTGGGTATACCCAGGTGGGGCTGGGTTAAGTCCAGACGGACTAGGGTGGGTCTAGAAAGGCTGGGGGTGGGTCTAGACAGGCTGGGGTGGGTATAGACAGGCTGGGGTGGGTATAGACAGGCTGGAGTGGAAATAGACAGGCTGGGGTGGGTCTAGAAAGGCTGAGAAGGGTCTAGACAGGCTGGGGTGGGTCTAGACAGGCTGGGGTGGGTCTAGACAGGCTGGGGTGGGTCTAGACAGAATGGGGTGGGTCTAGACGGCCTGGGATGGGTCCAGACGGACAAGGGTGGGTCTAGACGGACTGGGGTAGGTCTAGATGGACTGGGGTGGGTCTAGACGGACTGGGGTTGGTCTAGATGGGCTAGGGTGGATCTAGATAGGCTAGGGTGGGTCTAGAAAGGCTGGGGTAGGTCTAGACAGGCTGGAGTGGGTCTAGACAGGCTGGGGTGGGTCTAGATGGGCTGGGGTAGGTCTAGACGGGCTGGGGTGGGTCTAGACGGACTGGGGTGGATCTAGACGGACTAGGGGTGGGTCTGGATGGGCTAGGGTAGATCTAGATAGGCTAGGGTGGGTCTAGACGGGCTGGGGAGGGGTCTAGACGGGCTGGGATGGGTAAAGACGGGCTGGGATGGGTGTAGACGGGCTGGGATGGGTCTAGACGGGCTGGGATGGGTCTAGACGGGCTAGGGTGGGTCTAGACGGGCTAGGGTGGGTCTATACGGGCTAGAGTGGGTCTAGATGGGCTAGGGTGGGTATAGACGGGCTGGGATGGGTCTAGACGGGCTAGGATGGGTCAAGACTGGCTGGGATGGGTCTAGACGGACTGGGGTGGCTCTAGACGGAATAGGGAGGGTCTAGACGGGCTAGGGTGGGTCTAGATGGGCTAGGTTGGGTCTAGACGGGCTGGGGAGGGTCTGGACGGCCTGGGCTGGGTCTAGAAGGGCTAGGGTGGGTCTAGATGGGCTAGGGTGGGTCTAGACGGGCTAAGGTGGGACTAGGTGGGCTAGAGTGCGTCTAGACGGGCTGGGGAGGGTCTAGACGGGCCATGGTGGGGTCTAGATGGGCTAGGGTGGGTCTAGACGGACTGGGGTGGGTCTAGACGAATTGGGGTGGGTCTAGACGGACTAAGGTGGGTCAATACGGGCTGGGATGGGTCTAGACGGGCTGGGATGGGTCTAGACGGGCTGGGATGGGTCTAGACGGGCTGGGATGGGTCTAGACGGGCTGGGATGGGTCAGTACGGGCTGGGATGGGTCTAGATGGGCTAGGGTGGGTCTAGACGGGCTGGGATGGGTCTAGACGGGCTGGGATGAGTCAAGACGGGCTGGGATGGGTCTAGACGAGCTGGGATGGGTCTAGACGGGCTGGGATGGGTCTAGAAGGGCTAGGGTGGGTTTTAGTGGGCTAGGGTAGGTCTAGACGGGCTGGGGAGGGTCTAGACGGGCTAGTGTGAGTCTAGATGGGCTAGAGTGGGTCTAGACGGGCTGGGGTGGGTCTAGACGGGCTAGGGTGGGTCTAGACGGGCTAGGGTGGGTCTAGACGGAGTAGGATGGGTCTAGATGGGCTAGGATTGGTCTAAAATTGCTTGGGAGGGTCTAGACGGGCTAGTGTGGGTATAGATGGGCTAAGGTGGGTCTAGACGGTATGTGGAGGGTCTAGACGGGCTAGGGTGGGTCTAGACGGGCTAGGGTGGGTCTAGACGGGCTGGGGTGGGTCTAGACGGGTTGGGGTGGGTCTAGACTGGATGGGGTTGGTCTAGACGGGCTGGGGTGGGTTTAGACGGGCAAGGGTGGGTCTAGACGAGCTGGGGTGGGTCTAGACGGGCTGGGGTGGGTCTAGACAGGCTGGGGTGGATTTAGACGGGCTGGGGTGAGTCTAGACGGGCTGGGTTGGGTCTAGACGGGCTGGGATGAGTCTAGATGGCCTGGGATGGGTCTAGACGGGCTCGGTTGGAACTTGACGGGCTAGGGTGGGTCTAGACAGATTGGGGTGGGTCTAGACGGGCTGGGATGGGTCTAGATGGGCTAGGGTGGGTCTAGACGGGCTGGGATGGGTCTAGACGGGCTGGGAGGAGTCAAGACGGGCTGGGATGGGTCTAGACGAGCTGGGATGAGTCTAGACGGGCTGGGATGGGTCTAGAAGGGCTAGGGTGGGTTTTAGTGGGCTAGGGTAGGTCTAGATGGGCTGGGGAGAGTCTAGACGGGATAAGGCGAGTCTAGATGGGCTAAGGTGGGTCTAGACGGGCTGGGGAAGGTCTAGACGGGCTAGTGTGAGTCTAGATGGGCTAGGGTGGGTCTAGACGGGCTGGGGTGGGTCTAGACGGGCTAGGGTGGGTCTAGACGGGCTAGGGTGGGTCTAGACGGAGTAGGATGGGTCTAGATGGGCTAGGATTGGTCTAGACTGGCTTGGGAGGGTCTAGACGGGCTAGTGTGGGTATAGATGGGCTAAGGTGGGTCTAGACGGTATGTGGAGGGTCTAGACGGGCTAGGGTGGGTCTAGACGGGCTAGGGTGGGTCTAGACGGGCTGGGGTGGGTCTAGACGGGCTGGGGTGGGTCTAGACTGGATGGGGTTGGTCTAGACGGGCTGGGGTGGGCTTAGACGGGCTAGGGTGTGTCTAGACGAGCTGGGGTGGGTCTAGACGGGCTGGGGTGGGTCTAGACAGGCTGGTGTGGATTTAGACGGGCTGGGGTGAGTCTAGATGGACTGGTATGGGTCTAGACGGGCTCGGTTGGAACTTGACGGGCTAGGGTGGGTCTAGACAGATTGGGGTGGGTCTAGACGGGCTGGGATGGGTCTAGATGGGCTAGGGTGGGTCTAGACGGGCTGGGATGGGTCTAGACGGGCTGGGATGAGTCAAGACGGGCTGGGATGGGTCTAGACGAGCTGGGATGGGTCTAGACGGGCTGGGATGGGTCTAGATGGTCTGGGATGGATCTAGACGGGCTCGGTTGGAACTTGACGGGCTAGGGTGGGTCTAGACAGATTGGGGTGGGTCTAGACGGGCTTGGGTGGGTCTAGACGGGCAAGGGTGGGTCTAAACGGTCTTGGGTGAGTCTAGGCGGGCTGGGGTGGGTCTAGACGGGCTAGGGTGGGTCTAAGCGGTCTTGGGTAGGTCTAGACAGGCTGGGGTTGGCTTAGACGAGCTGGGGTGGGTCTTGACGGGCTAGGGTGGGTCTAGACGGGCATGGGTAGGTCTAGACGGGTTGCAGTGGGTCTAGACGGGTTGCAGTGGGTCTAGACGGGCTGGGGTGGGTGTAGACTGGCTGGGGTGGGTCTAGACATGCTGGGGAGGGTCTAGACGGGCTTGGATGGGTCTAGACGGTCTGGGGTGGGTCTAGACGGGCTGGGGTGGGTCTTGACGGGCTGGGGTGGGTCTAGACATGCTGGGGAGGGTCTAGACGGGCTGGGGTGGGTCTAGACGGGCTGGGGTGGATCTAGACGGGCTAGGATGGGTCTAGACGGGCTTGGGTGGGTCTAGACGGGCTAAGGTGGGTCTAGACGGGCTGGGGAGGGTCTAGACGGGCTGGGGTGGGTCTAGACGGGCTGGGGTGGGTCTAGACAGGCTGGTTTGGGTCTAGACGGGCCGAGGAGGGTCTAGACGGGCTGGGGAGGGTCTAGACGGGGTGGGGAGGGTCTAGACGGGCCGAGGAGGGTCTAGACGGGCTGGGGTGGGTCTAGACGGGCCGAGGAGGGTCTAGACGGGGTGGGGAGGGTCTAGACGGGGTGGGGAGGGTCTAGACGGGGTGGGGAGGGTCTAGACGGGGTGGGGAGGGTCTAGACGGGCTGGGGTGTGTCTAGACGGGCTAAGGTGGGTATGGATGAGTCACGGGAGGTCTAGACTGTGAGTGCGTATTGAGTGTGGAGAAACATGGGTGTTCATGGCTCCTCTTCCACCACCCAGGCAGCTCTCCCTCTCACACTCCCACTTGTTTAACAGTGCTTAGGACCATTAGTGACGATACTGATGACCCTTCCGTCCCTCCCTCCGTCCTTCCCTCCCATCCCCCTCTCACTCCCTCCTATCCCTCCACTCCCTCCTATTCCTCCTATCCCTCCTATTCCTCCACTCCCTCCTCTCCCCCATCACCCTCTCTCTCTCTCTCTCTCTCTCTCTCTCTCTCTCTCTCTCTCTCTCTCTCTCTTCTCTCTCTCTCTCTCTCTCTCTCTCTCTCTCTCTCTCTCTCTCTCTCTCTCTCTCTCTCTCTCTCTCTCTCTCTCTCTCTCTCTCGCTCCATTTCCTGCATGTCCTTCTTGATTTTCTTTATTGTTTACTTGAATGTGTCTTTATCAGTTATTTTATCTTCGAAACAAGGACAATAAGGCAGAACAAGGACAAAATACCAGGTAACAACAACAGCTCTCATCAACAAGTATTAATATCATCAATATGATTGATGACCTCTTGCGTGGTCAATAATACCATCAATATTATTGATGTTGCCACAGCTGGCAACTGTAGCGTCTGGGAAGCACTGGAGGTACCAGGAATACTCCTTGTGGGAGGTCCACTAGTTGCTTCTGATCTCCCCCCTTCTCTCCCTCTCTCTCTCCCCCCTCTCCCTCACCCTCTCTCACCTCTCCCTCTCTCTCTCCCCCCTCTCCCTCACCCTCTCTCCCCTCTCCCTCTCTCTCTCCCCCCTCTCCCTCACCCTCTCTCACCTCTCCCTCTCTCTCTCCCCCCTCTCCCTCACCCTCTCTCACCTCTCCCTCTCTCTCTCCCCCCTCTCCCTCACCCTCTCTCACCTCTCCCTCTCTCTCTCCCCCCTCTCCCTCACCCTCTCTCACCTCTCTCTCCCCCCCCTCTCCCTCACCCTCTCTCCCCTCTCCCTCTCTCTCCCCCCCACCCCCTAACTCTACCCTTTGCTGGTGACAGGGTACATGACTTGCTGTATGCTTTA